ACAAAGCCAGACCTGAAACCCCAGAGTATGAGGAGATGTGTTTGGCTGATTTTGCCGCAACATGCAGAATTGTCTACGGTCAGCACACAAAAGGTAAAGATGTTATGCCCCTCCTCAATGAGATGGGATTTGTGCAAAGGCGAAAAAACGATAAGCCTGCCATCATCAGATTTTACCGCTGCTCACAGGAAAAGTACCCAGAGAAGTTCTATGGAACATTACTGAAACTGTATGTCCCTTACCGGTCAGACCAGGAACTGAAAAGACCACATTTCCCCACCTATGAGTCCTTCTACAACAGTTGTTGGGTCCAACTACCAGGTTCTGAGCAGCCCGAGTATGTCAGACGCATTGTGAAACGAAACAGAGACAAATATGAGAAAAACAGTGAAGAGATTGAGAATGCAGTCGAGGAGTTTGAACAGAACAAAGGTTTGATTGATGAGTGGTGTAATCTGACTCCTGAAGCAGAAGTAGACAGGTTGGAATGTGTTGAAGAACTGGAGGCAAGACAGCCGCTCAATGAAAATGAACAAGAGAATGTCCCAGAATACAGTAATCAGGCTAATGCTGTAACAGAAGTCAGAGCCATCAGAGAAGCCCCGGCATTTGACCCTGCAGTGTTACGCCACATGTACCAGAATCTGAATCAGAAGCAAGCATGTGTGTTCTATGCAGTGAGAAACTGGTGCCTGAATAAAGTCTGTGGCCTAAATCCAGAGCAGTTCTTCTTTTACATTAATGGAGGTGCTGGAACAGGCAAGTCACATCTCATTAAATGCATCTACTCAGAGGCATCTAAGATACTGTGCAAACTGCAGAGACGTGCCGAGGAGGCTGACATATCGAATCCAACTGTCCTGTTGACTGCTTTCACCGGAACTGCAGCCTTTAATATATCAGGCACAACACTGCACTCTCTCCTGAAGCTGCCGAGAAGCCTAAAGCCTCCATTTCAAGGTCTTGGTAACAAACTGGATGAAGTCAGATCTGAACTTCTAAATGCTGAAATTATCATCATTGATGAAGTTTCCATGGTGTCAAAGCCCCTTTTCGCCTATGTGGATGCGAAACTGAAACAGATCAAAGGCAGTCAGAGACCCTTTGGAGGAATGTCAGTATTAGCTGTTGGAGACTTTTTTTTATCAGCTAATACCAGTGCAACAGGGCAAGGCCCTCTGTGTCCATGACCCATGTGAGATTGACCTTTGGCAGGAACACTTTCAGATGATCAATCTCACTGAGATTATGCGTCAGAAGGATGATGTTGCCTTTGCAGATATGTTGAACCGGATCCGTGTGAAAGTGAAATCTGACCAGTTGCCTGCAGCAGACAGAGCTTTGCTGTCACAGACTGTCACTGAACCTGCACTTTGTCCATCTGATGTCCTGCACATTTTTGCAACTAATAAACAAGTTGATTCCCACAACTCAGCAACATTAGCTCGTCTCTATTCCCACATCACCAAGATTGATGCAGATGACTTCAGAAAGGACCGACGAACTGGAACAATGGCAAGACAGACCAAGCCATTTAAAGGAGGCAGAAGTGAGTTACCAGATTCAACCACCGTTGCTGAGGGTGCTCGTGTCATGCTTACCAGAAACATAGACGTGTCTCAAGGATTGGTGAATGGTTCGTTCGCTACACTGGCCAGGGTACTTACCTCTGAAGAACGTGGTTCTGCACATGTCACTATGCTTGGGCTCAAGATGGATGATGAAACAGCTGGAAGGAATTACCGCAATCGAGCACCGGGAGAACCTGATGATCTTGTGTACATTGAGAGAGCAGAGGAGAATCTGCAACAGAGAGGAGTGGTACGCAGACAGTTTCCACTTAAACTGGCCTATGCTTGTACAATTCACAAGGTTCAAGGTATGACGAGGACATCAGCTGTAGTCTCATTAAAAAACATCTTTGAACCTGGCATGGCTTATGTAGCTCTCAGTAGAGTGACCTCTCTCAGTGGACTGCACCTGCTGGATATGGATGTGAGTAAAATATATGCTAACCCAGAGATCACTGGAGCCATAGAGACCATGAGACAAGTGAACCTGGACGACATGATGCCTCTTCTTCACATCAAACAAACATTGAGCAGACCTGACACTCTGACCATTGTTCACCATAATACAGAGGGATTGCCATCTCATGTGAATGACATCAAGAGCCATCATGAACTGTGTCTTGCTGATGTTTTGTGTCTTACAGAAACTCACCTGCAAGGCTCCTTTGTTGCAGACAGTCTTCATTTGGTAGGCTACAATATGTTTAAACGCAACAGACACCTGTCCTACACATTTTCCACAGATTGCTAACAGAGGTGGTGGTGGAGTTGCTGTATATGTGAAAAACCACATTCAAGTGTGTGAAAAACAGTATGTGCATAATGTGACGGACCTTGAGTTTCTGGCTCTGAAGGTACAAGCCCCAGTGAGCGCACTGATTGCAGCTGTTTACAGACCTCCAGACTACAGCGTGAGATCCTTCCTCTCAAACCTGGGCAGCCTTTTGGACTCCTTGGAGATCATGGATTGTCACCCCATCATTGTCTGTGGCGATTTCAATGAGAACCTCTTATCCAACGCAGGTAAGCCAATTCTTGAGATGTTTCAGTCCAGGGGATATGCACAGCTCATCACTGCCGCCACCACAGAGAAGAACACACTGCTGGACCTCATCTTCATCTCTCAACCACAGCGCTGTCTCCACGCAGGTGTGATGAATACCTACTACAGTTATCACAATCCTGTGTTCTGTGTCGTGTCCTCTAACAGTGTTTAATGATGTCAGGTGAGTTCTAGCTGGAATCTTTGGTAGGTAGAAACTATTTGAAGTATTGGGCCATATCTTTTTTAGGTCATCATGTTTTTAAAAGCTATAACATATTTTTTGCAATCTAAACTTTTCAGAGCACTGGACAATGTTATGGGTCATATCTTTTTTAGGTCATCATGTTTTAGTAAGCTATAACATATTTTTTGCAATCTAAACTTTTCACAGTATTGGACAATATTATAGGTCATATCTTTTTAAGGTAAACATGTTTTTTAAGCTATTTTCAGCATAACTTTGCCTGTGCATTTATCAGGGTGGGTTGGGCTCAGGATTGATAAATGCACAGGACAAAATTGTGTCAGCAGCTATGTACATCATGCTGACACAAATAGCTGCTGACACAATTTTGCAAAAATGTATTTACATCAAAAAGTATATTATGTTCTATGTAACACATACTTTCTGATGTACTTCTACCAGCTGAAATCCCACACTTATATCCCTCACAATTTCAAACTACATACTCTAGCGTAGGGTAGGGGGCCATGACTTTAGAAACTATAACTTCTGTAAGTTTCCTTTCCCTTTCCTTTTTTTAAAAAGCTTTTTTGACCTGATCCAAACAATGTATGTTTATTTTCATTGTATGTATGTTCATTCATGCCATCTTTGCTTTCACATGTTTTCTACATGTATCTAAAAGACATAGTTTTTCTGTCCTCTTCCAGGTTAATTAACTGGAAGAGGACAGAAAAACAGTACAACATAGTGATCATGAGTGTGGGGTTTCAGCTGGTAGATATGAAAGGTTTTAAAGGATGTTCACATTGTATACCTAGTCTTGGGCTAATCTGAACCCATGAAAAAAGCTCTTTATAAATATAGAATCAGCGTTCAGTCTGTGAAATCTAAGCTGAAGCGATTGTCTTCATGATGCATACGACATGTGACTTGGTTAATTAAGCCTTGTCAAATTATTTAATTGGGAATTAAATGTTCCAATTTTCAAATTCTTCACTGAATTCACACCAGTGACTCGAACCATATTTTCTTCAAAAGCCAACCAAACTCCTGCATTTCAGTGAGGCTCAGTAACCTGAGCTAGATGTTGGTAAATCACACAATTGACATGACGATTACTGTCAGTCAAGAGCTACTGGAGCTTAAAGCCATGAACTCATAGGGCTATTAGCCTAGCTAAACACAATGTGAACATTCTTTCATGGTAGGGCTGAACAATATTGTTATAGTTTTGTTGATTTTTCAACCCAATTTGACAGTGCTACTACAATGCATCATTTAAATATACAGCACACACTTCCTTTGCCTGATGGTGACAATATGGTTAAGCCCTGCCTTATCAACCTGTTTGATAAACAATTATTAAGTAACCAAGCATTTTGGTTTTGCAAGTATGATCTTGTATATTTTTTCTTTGTTGAAGTTGTTTATTGTTTTTTAAAGCTATATTTTCAGCATAACTTTGCCTGTGCATTTATCAGGGTGGGTTGGGCTCAGGATTGATAAATGCACAGGACAAAATTGCGTCAGCAGCTATGTACATCATGCTGACACAAATAGCTGCTGACACAATTTTGCAAAAATGTATTTACATCAAAAAGTATATTATGTTCTATGGAACACATACTTTCTGATGTACTTCTACCAGCTGAAATCCCACACTTATATCCCTCACAATTTCAAACTACATACTCTAGCGTAGGGTAGGGGGCCATGACTTTAGAGAGTATAACTCCTGTAAGTTTCCTTTCCCCTGGACCAGACACAGTTTGTCAGTTTGCTCTGTGACGGCACCTGCCAGCTTTGTCCTCATCTCCTTCAGCACCGTGAGGATCGACTCACAACAACTGACAACTGCAGCAACAGCAGCTTCCCTGTTGACTGCTCACAACAACCAAGACATGCATGCTGCAACAGTGGCAGCAGCTTAACTGTTCAACCACAGTGGACCAGTCACTGCTGGACCACACAGTGACACCTTCTACTTCCTTCTCATCCCAATTCTTCAAAGAAGAGGATGAGATATCACCTGCCTGCCTTAGCCTTGTCTTCTCTCTGGTGCTGAGATACTGGATCATCCCGTAAAACCAAGACATGCATGCTGCAACAGTGGCAGCAGCTTAACTGTTCAACCTATAGTGGACTCATCACTGCTGGACCACAGATAAATGTGTTCCCCCTCAATGCAGGGAGTGGTGAACATTCTTCACAACAGAGCAACAGGTATTGTCTTCTAATTCCATTTGTGCTTATGTAATGTTTTAATGTCATGTTGTGTTCACTCATGTATTCACTTCTTCCATCAGGTCTTGCTCCACTGTGATTCCAACATTTCACAGTGAAGACACTCAGGACTGCACAGACAGAAACAAACATCGAAGAAGCTGACCATCATGCAGCAGTCCTCAACTTCTGTGTGAGAAGATGTTTTGCCCTTCAGCAGTGTTCAAGATATCTGCATTGACCACCTCCACATCCCCATATGTGTATCCACTGCTGTGCACAGCTCAGTACAGTAGGACCTGCATCCTGTTGATCCTTTGGCAGTGATCAGATGAACTGTTGCAGGGAACCAAACTGCTGCAGATCAGTCATCCCTGTCAGAGTGAAAGTTCCTCCTAAAGCTGTGAAGGTAACACATTTTTGTACTTGCTTGATACAATATCTAATTGTATTAACAACTACAGGAATGTGAGGGGTAACGTTTTTTCACCTTTTTTCTTTAAGACTCTCCCCCTCCATGTTGCTAAAGGAAACTGGAAGCAGCACTTCTACAGCGATTGGACATGTCAAAGGTCACCATCTTACCGCCCTTACGTCCTCACACTGAACGTTGACAGTTTTGATTTGTGCCTACAATGGACAGATTCAACATACAGCAACCAATACTACTGACCCACTGACGGACTGACGGACTGACGGACTGACTGCCACTGAACAGTAGGACAGCAATTTGGTCCTTTTTTTAAAAAGCTTTTTTGACCTGATCCAAACAATGTATGTTTATTTTCATTGTATGCTTTCACATGTTTTCTACATGTATCTAAAAGACATAGTTTTTCTGTCCTCTTCCAGATTAATTAACTGGAAGAGGACAGAAAAACAGTACAACATAGTGATCATGAGTGTGGGGTTTCAGCTGGTAGATATGAAAGGTTTTAAAGGATGTTCACATTGTATACCTAGTCTTGGGCTAATCTGAACCCATGAAAAAAGCTCTTTATAAATATAGAATCAGCGTTCAGTCTGTGAAATCTAAGCTGAAGCGATTGTCTTCATGATGCATACGACATGTGACTTGGTTAATTAAGCCTTGTCAAATTATTTAATTGGGAATTAAATGTTCCAATTTTCAAATTCTTCACTGAATTCACACCAGTGACTCGAACCATATTTTCTTCAAAAGCCAACCAAACTCCTGCATTTCAGTGAGGCTCAGTAACCTGAGCTAGATGTTGGTAAATCACACAATTGACATGACGATTACTGTCAGTCAAGAGCTACTGGAGCTTAAAGCCATGAACTCATAGGGCTATTAGCCTAGCTAAACACAATGTGAACATTCTTTCATGGTAGGGCTGAACAATATTGTTATAGTTTTGTTGATTTTTCAACCCAATTTTACAGTGCTACTACAATGCATCATTTAAATATACAGCACACACTTCCTTTGCCTGATGGTGACAATATGGTTAAGCCCTGCCTTATCAACCTGTTTGATAAACAATTATTAAGTAACCAAGCATTTTGGTTTTGCAAGTATGATCTTGTATTTTTTTTCTTTGTTTAATTTGTTTATTAGTCTTTTGTTTTATGCAAACATTTAGGTGTATAGGATGAATTTTATCAAAGGTTATATATTAATCTAACTTTCTTAAAATGTTTAGTGCAGTTTAAAAGGTGGCCTTATACATTTCCTCCTGGTTTGTCAAAGTTCCCCTATTGTAAGATCTAAGGCCAACATTAAACGTTCAGGCTTTATGCAGAGAAGGTTTCTTTTTTGTTGACATTTTCTAATTTCTTTTAATTTCATTGTGTCTATGTTATGCTATTAATATGATATGACTCCTAATAATAATTGCTGCATTTTGAAGATAATAATACTGTTAATTAGCACAACATTGTTGACTCACAAAATCTATTAAAACCTTTTATTGTAATGTGGTAACTTGTCTGCTTCATACTAATGGTTTGTTCTACTCTATTTTGCATATACAGAACACTCCACAAAGATCCTCAGGTGATTTGGGGATGAACTGTCTCTTTAACTCTCATTCAAAATATTCACTTTTGCACTACTACAACTCTTACTCGAGCTTCTAGTACAATATTACTGTTACAGTATTAATGCTTACTACTAGTACTACAGTACGTTTTGCTACTTCAGCATACTTTCAGCTACTGAAACCATTCAACAAATAGATTATACAGCTTTTTTAGGGGAATTATGTCTATGAATTGTATTGTTTATACCTTATTATACTTTCTAAAAGAAGAATATGCTTTATCACTTTTTTCAACTCTGCCAGTTTGACATTTCATCTTCAGGTTATTTCAGGACATGGAGGCTATACGTGTTGTTGTTTATACCTTTTTTCTTAAACCTTTTCTTTTAAATATTAAGCTTTTTCTGCATTTTTGTAGCTAAAAGCAGCTACCATTCAGCTAATAACATATTCAGCTTTTTCTGCATTTTCAGCTAAATTCAGCCACAAATGTTCACAGTTTACAGCATTCGCATGCATTTTCTGCAGGAAATGCATTTTCTAGTTATGTTCAGTAAGTGCTCTGACACTAACATATGTCAAAAATGATATGGTTACCTTGCAAAAGTTGACCAAAAAGAGTGATTAGTGCGAATGCTGTGCCACAGCATTCCACTATAGTACTTCAATTTCTTTATTCTTCCCCTTAATATTATTATTATTTCACCAATACTTTGGCTCTCCATAACTTCAGCTTACTTTCAGCTACAGAAACCATTCAAATATCAAACTATTCAGCCTATTCAGGAATCAATTGGAAACCTTCAACTTTTTAAAAATATTTTATACTTTTTGAAATATTCAGCTTTTTAAACTCTTTTTTTTAACATTGAAGTCAATGGGAGATGCCTTCAAATCCTCTTTTCCTACACTTTGCGCCAAATGCTTCTCCTTCCACATAATTTCAGCTAGACACTTCATTCCAACTTTCAAATGATCACAACACCTTCAGCTATAAAACTTGTTATTCAGATTCTTCATATCTTTTACACTTCTTGATATATTTAACTTAGTTTGGAGCTTGGTAAAGAGGCTTTCTTCAGATATTAACATTAGTGTGGATGGAGCAGCTCGTTAAGTCTAGAGTGCTTTGATCTCAAAACAGAGTGGAAGAGTGCTTGAAATTCTCCCAAAAAAAATGTTTTAAACCTGCCATAATTCCCAAACCCTACACTCCTCAGACATAATTTTTCATGAGAAACGTAGGAAAACATCTCGTAGCTTGAAAAATGACAAATAATTAAGCAAAAATAATTAAACAAAATGCCTCTTGAGGGCATGAAGTGACAAAAACGTTCAACATGTCTCCATTAAAGCCCATTGTAATTTCAGGCAGATATTTCCTCACAGCAGCAGCCGCACACCTTTCTTAAACTGCCAAAAAAGCCACATTATTAACCCGAAAGTAAACAAAAATTACACTTCAGATACTCAACTTCCTTGACATGCTTCACGTTTTGAAATTTCACAGATATCTGTTATCGTTCTTCCACAAAACGTTCACATGTAAGAGGTTCATCTCTCATTCAGAACAATGAAGCCTTTGATCTATACATAGCTCGTTAGCTCAACTATAAACACCTGTGTTTGAACACGATGATGTCATCACTCCAACTGACAGCAGTCAATTCTAACTGTTCATTACATACTCACACTCTCTCTCTCTCTCTCTCTCTCTCTCTCTCTCTCTCTCACAGACAGACACATACACTCTCTCTCTCTCTCTCTCTCACACACACACATTCTCTCTCTCTCTCTCACACACACACTCACACTCACACTCACTCTCTCTCTCTCACAGACAGACAGACAGACAGACAGACAGACAGACAGACAGACACACACACACACACTCTCCCTCTCTCTCACAGACACATCAAGAGAAGAGAGGGCGATCAAGAGAAGTGAGAGAGGGTGATCAAGAGGAGAGAGAGAGGGCAATCAAGAGAAGAGAGAGAGAGGGCGATCAAGAGGAGAAGAGGAGGGCGATCAAGAGGAAGAGAGAGACGAATACATTAAATTGTAAGTAGTAGTGATGATGTTTAACAAACACCCGGTTTGTTGTAAAACCAGAGATGAAAGGTTACCATGGGACGATTATATCTCCTCGTGATGCCCTCTATCTATCCTTATTGATCGCCCACTATCTCTCCTCTTGATCGCCCCCCACTCTCTCTCCTCTTGATCGCCCTCTCTCTCTCCTCTTGATAGCTCTCTCTCTCCTCTTGATCGCCATCTCTATCCTCGGTGATCGCCCTCTCTCTCTCTATTGATCGCCTCTTCTCTCCTCTTGATCACCCTACCCTATCTATCACCCTCTCTACTTCTCGCTGATGTAGTCTGTGAGAGAGAGGGAGAGTGTGTGTGTGTGTGTGTGTGTGTGTGTGAGAGAGAGAGAGAGAGAGAGAGAGAGAGAGAGAGAGTGTGTGTGTCTGTCTGTATGTCTGTGAGAGAGAGAGAGAGAGAGAGAGAGAGTGTGTGAATTGTTACAGCTCAAATGCAATGCAATGACTTCCATGTTAAAAAAAGACTTTAAAAAGCTGAATATTTTAAAAAGTATAACATATTTTGAAAAAGTTGAAAGTTTCCCATCATGTGCTGAAAAGGCTGAATTGTTTGATATTTGAATGGTTCCTGCAGCTGAAATTAGGCTGAAGGAGTTAAATACAGACATTAAATGTAAGTAGTAGTGAATGAATGTTTACAAACACCTGTGTGTGTAAACCCAGAGATGAAAGGTTACCATGGTGACGACTTATGACGATTTTCCAACTGCAGCACTGAGTCCCATTAAGAATGCATTGAGGATTATATCTGACAATTTTGCCATCTGTTCAAAAACGATGGCTCCTATCAAAAAATGACCAGACCGTGAGCATCAGGGAACCCCAATGAACTGATATATGTTGTTTTTTTTTGGTTTTGTGTGTAAAATGTGGAGATGGGAGCAGTTTGTCTAAAGTGTACTTCTCTCTGTTCTGAAGAAAGTTCCGGAAAGATTTAACATGGGAATCAATTGGGAGCTAGCTGGACTTTTTGTCTCTTCATGCCCTCAAGAGGCATTTTGTTTAATATTTCTTCTTAATTTGTTTTCATTTTCCAACCTAGGAGAGGTTTTCCTACGTTTTTCATGAAAAAATATGTCTGAGGAGTGTAGGGTTTGGGAATTATGGCAAGTTTAAAACATTTTTTGGGGAGCACGGCTGCACTCTGTTTTGAGATCAAAGCACTCTAGACTTAACGAGCTGCTCCATCCACACTAATGTTAAAATCTGAAGAAAGCCTCTTTACCAAGCTCCAAACAAAGTTAATTATCTCAAAAAGTGTAAAAGATATCAAAAATAAAAATCTATTTTGAATAGCTGAAGGTCTTGTGATCATTTGAAAGTTGGAATGAAGTGTCTAGCTGAAAGTATGTGGAAGGAGTATAGAATAAAGAAATTGAAGTACTATAGTGGAATGCTGTGGCACAGCATTCGCACTAATAAAGAAATTGAAGTACTATAGTGGAATGCTGTGGCACAGCATTCGCACTAATAAAGAATTGAAGTACTATAGTGGAATGCTGTGGCACAGCATTCGCACTAATGATGAACATCAAACATCAAACATTTTGATCTGTGGATGAAAAATTTAAGAAATG